ATTATTAAAATATATAAATTTTTACTCTAAAAAACGTAACTAATTTAACGTTTTGGTTTTTATTTTCTGAAAAGCCAACTATCGTTCTCAGTATAATAGAGGGTAAATAAAAGATCGTTTCCAACATAGTAGTCGAACTACTAGATTCAGTTTTTTACTTTTTACATTAGTTTCATTCTTGATATTTTATGTTATATATACTAATATTGATGTTACTTATTTAATTACTAATTTTGTATTTTGTATCACACTAAACATATTAAACTCGACTATTATTTTATTTGTAAGTATATTGCATCTAACTATAAATTCAATTTTCTTAGTGATGTCAATAAGAGATATTTTTATCAAATCTATTTATATACTTACAAGCTAATTGTTTTAAGTTCTTAGTTAGTGTAACTTGTTATATATTTACTAGATTGAGTTTTTACCTTTTACATTAGTTTCTCTCTTGATATTTTGTGTTATATATAGTAATATTGGTGTTATTTATTTAATTACTTATTTTGTATTTTGTATCACACTAAACATATTAAACTCAACTATCTTTTCGTTTGTAAATATTTTGCATCTAATTATGATTCTAATTTTCTTAGTGATGTCAATACGAGATATGTTCATCAAATCTATTTATATACTAACAAGCTAATTGTTTTACAATTCTTACTTACTGTAACTTGTTAAAGATAAGTGAGGAAGTTTCCATCGAAATATCCATATGTGAATGTTTATTGCATATTCATCTTCTATTAGAGCTATTATCATCATTTTTTTTTATGTACCAAATTGTTCAATAGAGTTTTTAGATAGTATGCATGTACAAGTCTCTTCTCGTTTTAACTTTAACTGAGCTAATTTTTTCCTTCTAGTTTGATAATGGACCACGAACTTGCTAATGAAAGTTATTGATTTGATGAAGAGAAAAAACTTATAATATCATAGCTTGTTTTTTATTATTTTGACTAATTCAACAATCTCTTCATTTTTTTCTTAACAGTTTGTCGTGTCATGATTACTTAATTTACTGTTTGTATCTAAATAATTTTAAATTAAATATTCTTTAACTGATAGTTAATGTCATATAATTAATACTTAAACTAATATTATTAATCTTGATAATCTTAGTATAGAAATTATGCATCAACATAATGCTCATAATCTCCTTCTAGATCTAGCGGTTGTTGAAACTTCATTTACAAATGAATAACATTTTATTTTCGTAGGGACTGTCCCATTTTTGAAATAGTTAGATAAAAAAGTAATAATCACCTTTCTTTATAAAGAAGTTTTTACCAACTTTTATGAATTTTTTTTTAAAATAAGTTAAAAAAGTTAAATTATCTTACCGATGATGTAGAAAAAATAC